ATGGTGAAGAGGATATTGAAGGAAAACCCGAATCTCTCTGTTCGAACGGTGCCTCGTAAAATAGGAATGTCACCTGCTTTTGCCCAAAAATCGAAAACAGCGTTTGGGGCTGAAGTCGTATAATTTAAAAACAGTCCAAATCGCAACGACAAACAGAATTTGACAGCAAAATCATAATCTGAAATAAAGAACTACAATAGAAATATAATGCGAAATTTGTGTTTTGCTTAAGTTTTGATGTGTCCGAATTATTGTGGATACAGACATGATTAGAGCTTTTTGAAGAAATAAACCCAGTCCTTTTGCGTGAGAGCCCCAGCACGAACCGCTACGCCATCTTAGATATATTAAAGTTAGCTGTTCTCCCGCCTCCTGTTGGAGTTTTCAGTGCCAGATGACTGACATGAATACGAAACACAGGTGTTTATCCACAAGGTATTTCAACACACTTGTGGCGCAGTGGTCAGCGTTTGTAGATCGCATGCCGAATACACGGGTTCGAATCCAGGAAATTTCTCTTTAATTTTATTGTTTTAATGTTTGGATAGAATATTGATACACTGCACAAATAAAAGAATTATGATATACTAGCTGAGCGCCCGGCCTTGCTCGGGATTCAATTTTAGCTTGAGTTTATGCGCCAATAAAAAATTAAAAGCATGCTATATTGTACGTAGCCCCCCCCCCCTTTATCTAAGGGGCTACCCCCTATGACCTCCACATGTCAAATTTGGTTCCATTTGCTTGATTAGTTCTCGAGTTATGCAGAAATTTATGTTTCATTTGTATGGGAGCCCCCCTTTACAGAGAGAGGAGGGGTGTCGAATCATCATAAGAACCATTCCCTGCCCCAAAAACCCCTACATACAAATTTTCACGCCGATCGGTTCAGTAATTTCCGAGTCTATTAGGGTCAGACAGACAGACAGAAATTCATTTTTATATAACGGGTGTTCAATAAAAATGAGAATGATTTCAGTGCCGTCCAGCGCTCTTGTGAGAGCATCGCGACTAAGTTGCGTCGTACGGTTGACCAGGGCCCCATCTTCAATATTCATTGAGGTTTTTTTGAAGAATAAACATTATGTTTTTAAAAAAAATACTGAATTCGTTGAAAAAAAATTTTTTTTTACTATGCTGAAAAAAATGTTGTTGAATATTACATCCAAACTGCTGCAACCAGGTCAATCCATCGGTTGTGTAATATAACGTTGTACGATGTACTTCGATTTTGCGAACAAAATTACATCCATTGATGTAATATTGTATTTGCTTTTTGCTATTACATCAGCTTAAATTACATTGATCGATATTACATTTTTTTGCTGTGTAGCTATATGACTTTAAAAAATCTTATTTTTTATTGAACACCTGTTATATAGATTTGAGCCACTGATCATTTCATATTTAAGTACATGAATTTTTGTTACTAATAAAGACTTGTGCGGATTGTTTCATGTGGGCTTTGACGGACCTTTTTAGAAACTTTCAAGTTGTTAAGAAGTTCCACAGGGAACTTTTAAGAAGCTTTAAAGTTGCTAAGAAGTTCTGCCTTGTCTGAAGTTCCTTAAGAAGTGCTTAGGGATGCTTTTTGGAACTTTTTTTGAATTTCAAGTTGCTACTGAGTACGCATCGGAACTTTTTGGAGCCTGAAGTTCCTCTTGTGATTTCTATAGCTTTCAAAGTAGCCAGAACGTCCTGTTGGAGCTTTATATGTACTTTATGAAACATGAAAGGTGGTTTTATCGTGGAATGCGGAACTTTTGATTGCTTGGGAAGAAAGTTCTGTCGGAACTTTATTTGAACTTTGTGAAACTTGAAAGTTTTGTCGGAACTTCATTTGAACGTAATGGAAGTTGAAAATTATGTCGGAACTTTATTTAAACTTTATGGAACTTGAAAGTTTGAAACTTTATTTAAACTTTATGGAACTTTAAAGTTCTGTCAGAACTTTTTTCGAACTTTATGGAAATTGAAGGTTCTGTCGGAACTCTGTTTGAACTTTTTAGAACTTGAAAGTGAGTTTTATCGTTGAATGTGGAACTTTTGGTTGCTTGGGAATAGTCTGAGTGGACATTAAGACGTTGTTACCGGGATGGTTTTCCGGTAGAATACGGACGGTAAAGGTCTGATCCCTGGATGAGATGCTCTACGTGGAAACATTATACGGTCATCAAATGCCGGTTACCAGCATTGATACCCTGTCTCAAAAATTCTTCCGAGGGAACCGATTGCTCTATTTGCATCTAGAAGATTGTGAAAGAATCGCAGTTGGTGTGTAACTGTATTCCCAGAACTGATAGCTTCGAGTGTGTCAAGTTGATCAGTAACGGTCCTGTGGGACTCGTCTATCGATCGTCCTTATCGGTTAGGAGTTCTGGCAAGCAAAAGTCCCAGAGTACTGTTCAGTTTGCCCATTAGACTGATGCAAAATTTGACTTTTTCGCTCCACAGTGCTTAAATGGTTTCAAATCGGGTCCTGATTAGCCTCCCAAAGTTACAACTCATTTGGTTAGAAACAGACTTCGCACAAGTCATTTGAAGTTTACATGTAAATTACTATGGAAAATCTCAACTTTTTGTTCATTGCCTTCTAGTCTTTTTCCATATTGAGCTGCGTAACAGGTCAATAACCATTCGTATAGAAAATTTTCTCAGCTACAACTTTGCTGAAGATCGTTTCTATGTAAAACGAGACAGGAAAAAGTTATTAATTATTTAATAGATTGGTAAACTTATGACATGATCAAGCAGCTGCTCTGTAGGCAACACTGTATTTTGCAGTGTGACATAGTAGCCATGATTTTTGTGTCCTATTCAACGCCCCAGAAACACCAATGTTGCCTGCTGAGCAGTTGATTGAGCATGATCATAAGACATCAGCTCATTGAACCATTGATAACTTTCGATCCTTGCATTTAATCAAAAAGTGGTCTTCACCAAAGTTGTAGCTGGGAAAATTTACTACAAGTATAGTTGAAAACTTTTGAAGCAGACTGATATGGTGAATTATTATATAGACATGAACAAAAATCTTGGTTTTACCATAGTAATTCCTATACAAACTTCAAATGGTTTGTGCCATCTCAGTTTCTCACCAAATGGGTTCAAATTTTGAGAGGTTAGTCAGGATCCGATTTGGAATCGTTTAAGTATTGTGAAGCGAAAATTTCATAGACGGCCAATGGTGAAGCGAATTGAGTAAGGGATATCGCGTCGCTCCTAAATACGGATATGATTGAGCTTACGATTAGTTTGAATCATATTGGTGTCTGCAATGCACTAACGCTTATTCGAAAATAATCTATAATTATATAGTAATCAATTTTAAAATATGTTTTTCTTATATTTAATACGATTAAAATAAACTTGGAAATCATGTTTAAAATAAACATTTTTTTTTTACTAAACTTGTTTGTATTACTCTATGCGTGAAATTAAAGATTTACAAAGTTGGAGATACTTAACGTCAAATATCAGACGTACAGTGGTCATTTTATACGATAGATGAGGAGATGAAAGTACAGAGTTGATAGTTCCTTTAAAGCACGGCAGTGTGAAAATTGTGTATAGAGAGTAGCAAGCGAGCAAAGATCAATTTTGAGGAAGGCACGTATCGGGTTGATCATCTCCTTTACCAAACTCCATGTTACCATCTCGCCACCACTGGCAAAAGAGATGAATACCGATTTGCTCACGCTAATCAGCAGTCTATATTTGTAAAAGCTTTCCTTATAATAAGTATTTTGAATGCGTCTCAGAGCCCAATTGTTGCACGCATCATTTGCATTGAAATTCTATTATTATAATTACGAATTGCACAGCCATAAAATATGGCTAAATGCATTCTAAAATCAATGTTTTCATCAAGAAGAATCATTCAGTGATTATGTTAGATGTTAAACGTAACTATTCGCTGTAGTGTAATTACGATATAAGAAGCTATTTAATTCATTTTATTGAATCAGTCAACAACAGGATGAAACTATAAGCGAAGACATCATATCAAGAAGACTGGCAACTCTTCTATTTTGTCATACGAACGCTATGAGACAGGTACAATGGTAAATGCTTCGAACGAATTCGATAGCAAAGATTATATCCTCAGAAGAAGGGTTTGTGTATTTGCTCATTTTTCTATGCGTTGCTTCCACCTTCACTCAAGCGCAGCGCTATTGTATCTGTCGTTTGGATTCTGGCAAAGTTGCCAGTCTTCTTGATTTGTTGTCTTCGCTATAAGCAAAAGCTGTTTTATTTAAAACATTGCATACCTTTAGGCGTTATCCCATAGATAATAATCCAGGACCAAGAGTCCAAATGTGATCCAATTATTCAACATTATAATTTGTTTCTGTAAATTTTACATGTTTGATAGATCGTTAGGTAAAAGAATAACCAACATTTTCCTGTAAACATTTTATAATTTTATTTTATTTTGAGCTAGTAATAACTTATTTTACAACTGATGATTATTAGCTGAAAAATAAGGAAATCACCTGAAATCATATGCATAATGTCAAAAATACTTAAAACATGTTTTATCACAATATTTCTTATACTTAACATCAAAAACACTTGTTTTATTATTCAAAAAATGATCACTGGTTGGTATGTCAACATGATCGGTAAACGTTATGGTCATGGACAAATGCTGCACAGTAAACAATGTGAAGTGTGCAACAATTGGCGAATTACCCTACCACACAAACATAATTTTAATTAATAACGACAATCATCTTAGTAGCGTATTTCTTGTTCTATAAGTGCCTAATAAAAGCGTACAAACTTAAGGCGTTGGTTCCAAAGCTTTATAATAACTGGGATATACTGTCCTCCTAGCTTCTGTAAACCTTCCTTGGAAGCGAAACATCCTTTTGTGGCTCTAAAAAAATCATCAACAGAAACAAACACAAAACATTCCCTTGAAAACCTCCGACTCCCTTCAAATTTTCTAAAAAAATCTATCCTAATTAACACCATTTTTCATTTCCCTTTTTCAGTTCGAATGGGTCTGCGAGAACGCGTACCTCTCAACTCTGTCGCAGTCGATCTTCTTCGTCGGTGCCATCGTCGGTGGGCTACTGTTCGGCTGGATTGCCGATCGGTACGGTCGCATTCCGGCGCTGGCCGGTTGCAACGTAATCGGATTCGTCGCCGGTGTGGCGACCGCCTTCGTTGGAAACTTCTGGCAGTTCGCACTGTGCCGGTTTCTGGTTGGATTCGCCTTCGACAACTGCTTCACCATGATGTACATTTTGGGTAAGTGATTTTAATATGCTCCAACAATCAAGCAGAAATTTAAAAATAAACACTTACGTAACTACCGGTCTTGCATCCCACGGTCGATTATAGATACAGGAACGCCATAGGGGGTTGTCGATAGAATCTAAAGCCGGTCGATATCTCGTTTGGAACCAATAACCCGAATAACCACTCGAGCAAATCACTTCAGGCTATTTCGGCTGATTAATGGCTTTAGGGACAAAGCAAGTAGCTCGAATGTGCGAAACTAAATTAGCCCCAAAAAGGCAGGTGTTTCGGAGATTGCAGAACTCGGCTTAAATTGAAAAACAATGGGCAAAAAATGCTCGTTTGGTATTTGGAAAAACCTGTCTGGTGAATCAATGAATAATTAATCAGTGGAACTTGTACTTAATAGAATTTTAGGTTAATTACGCGGAAACATTTATTGCTCGAATTGAACATAAGTGTTACGTAATGTACGTACGTACATATTCAACTGAATGGAAGCTCAACGGAAGCTTATCGCTAACGAAGCACCACGCGTCTCCATGAAATGGTAAATCACGATTTATGTCCCATTACTTACTATTCCTCCGGCATGCGGCACACGCTAATTGAGACATAAACTGATTAGCATTCAACATAGTAGTTCCCCAGATCAGGTGTAACGGGCATAACATTTCTTAACCCCTTTTCAGATGGGGCAGCTGAAAAACAATAACAGTGGTGGCGGCTACCGCGCAAGATTCGATTACCATAATCAACTGTCAACTGGTACACACCACACGGTCGGTAATAATGTGACAAACCACCTTCCATTTAGAGATAAAATGTGTTCTTGTTCATTAGCATATGTGCGAGAATACGTTCTTAGAGGAATGCCTCCGCGAATAGAGGGGGGGCTTTTTTGTTCATTACACACCTGTTGTGTTGTACCATGCACCATTGATCACATATGGGTATGTGGTACAGTGAGCTGTTGGTAGCACATCAGTGCTCGATTCCGACTCGTTGTGAATGTGAAACGATCGGCGTATGAACAAAGCATTTGATGTTGAACATCGTGTAAAATTCGTGACTGGATAAAAATGGCTAACAAGAATTATAAACATGAGTTTTTCCACCACTCATGTGTGATGTTCAATTAATGGATATAAGATTGAATGATATTGTTGCAACGTCTTGTTCTTATCATCTTGTGCGAAGGGAATGAATCAGTAATACAATTAACTTACTTTGCTCGCGGCTCTGTAAATAACTGATTATGACAAACGAGAAACACTGATCTGGAATTTTAATGATCTCAATGCGAAAAAAAAAAGAAAATACTCTTTTGTTTGCTGAGTGACTGAATCAGGATTGTCAGAAAAATCGGCTCCGTAAGGTTAACGTGATTGAGCCTTTCAAGTAAATTTATTTAAAAAAAATGAAATAGTAATTATCACATTGAACTCTTTTTATCTCGATATCAAAACGACCGTCGTTGGAGTTTATAAAATTACGGAGATACCTAAATTCAATAAAAGTTTATGCAGCTGGATTTCTATCGAGATTTGTGCAACGATCAGAGATTTTTCCTCAATCATACGTGACTCCAAATAGTTATACGTTTTGATTTCATATATCCAAATAGTTATATGCTTTGATTTGATCTTTACACCAAATTTCACTTGAAATAATAACCCAGCCGGGAAATTTAAGATGCTATTACAGATTTGTGCATTTTTTTTTCCTTGATTTGTTTTCCGTCGATCTTGTTTTCCTTGCTGAGCACCAATACTGACGCCAGGGAGGCAGCTCCCACACCTGGGCCCTACCTATTGACCCATCAATTCATGAACCGGGGACTAACGGCTTTACTTCTCTTCCAAAGGAAGGCGTGATCAGAGTTGTTATGCCTCAGAACATCCCGGCGGCGCCGACTGTAATTAAATCCAGGCCTGCTGGGGTTAGAGATAATCACGCTTACTACTACACCACCGGCGCCGCTCAGATTTGTGCATGAATAGATTCTGTAATTTGGTCACCGAAAGGATTTTTTTTTAATAATTTCGTTATTTTTATGTTAGTTAAATTTTCGAACAAATTTTGTTTCCCCAAATGCACTGCGCCTTGAAAATCATATCGTGAAGATTTTTTAGAAAAATATTCATTCTGTAAAAACTTGTTTGTAAGCTACAGCCCTTTGTAAGAGCAGGCATTACATTAGAAATTCATGCATTTGTTGGCCTAGAAAACTCTCAATTAACAACTGTGGAAGTGCTTTGGAACATCAATTTAAGAGAAAAGCTCGTACAAGAGCGTCAAAACCAGGAAAAATGAGAAGAAGAAGAACAACATTTAAAGGATACAGCCGGATTTGCTGTTGAGTGTTCACTAATTATGTGACCTCCTAACTAAATAGCAGGTATTCGTTATACGATGACAGATAATATCAGACTAACCTTGACGTTTCATGTTTGATATCTGTAAATAATTCAAATACCTGTTTTACATAACAAGTTGCATTTTTCAGCCTCAAAACCGTCTTAGGTAACTATCGAATTTCATGAGCAATATTTGTTGTGAAATGTGACACGTGATCGATCACGTGAATAGACACGAGTGGTACGATTTTCTGGTAGTCCGTCCAGGATTTTTCATTAACTTCAATGAACTTCGTAAAACTTCTGAAACTTTGTAGGTTTCTATTAAAGAAATTTAAAAGAAAGTCAGGGAACTTCGTTGAAATTCAGGGAGCTTTTTTAAAAATTGGGAAAACTTCAAAGAAGTGGGAACTTTGTGCGTGTTTGAGTAACTTCGTGTAAGTAAAGAGAGCTTTGTTTAATTTCAGGAAACATCATAAAAGTTGCTGGACCCTCTTTTAACTTCAGGGCACTTCGTTAAAGTGCAATGGACTTGGAATAGTTCAGAGAATCCCGTAGAAGTTCAGGAACTTTTCAAATCAGCGAAACTCTTCGGGAACTTCGTAGAAGTGTAGCTAACTTTGTAGAAGTCCATGGAATCACGTAGCAATTAAAAACTACAAGAGACAGCCCTATGGGGTTGTACACAATGGTGACGTAGGACTACGTGGTCTTATATGATAAATCTTATTTGTTAACTGCAGCAGTAGCTTGCGTTTTGCGTAGGAATAGGAATTTGAGTTTGATTCTCTCTGTTTATACTTTATAGTATGACGCGCTTGACATAGATGCCCGACAGCGGCTCACAAAGAGCTACTGATTCCGATCAATAGCAGTGCGGCTACTTCCTCCTTCTATGGCTGCTCATGTGGGCGCAGCTCGTTGCTTGCAAGCAGCCTTTCGTTGTGTACTGGAGAACAATATTCAACGCCACGCCCGAAAGCACTGCTGCTGATGCCGATGACCGGACACCACCACACACGGTGATTGAAACTGAATGCGATCAGCGGTTGAGGGCAGCCTTTCGTTGTGTACTGTAGAACACCATTACTCACCACGCGGTGATTGAATAAACACCGTGTGGTGAGACCTAATGGAATTCTACTTTGAAATCAGTGTTAGTGAAATCGCTTTCGCAGGCAATCGGTGATAATTTTAGTTATCATAGCAACAGTTGCACATTCGTGCAATTTTCAATAGTGACATTTTGAAAAATGATAATGTCTTAAATTTAGCAGATGCGTAAGAATATTTCTGATCGATTGGTGATAAAATTATTGAAATCGGTCCAGGGGCAGCTGAGTTATTAACGTTCAAAATCTTTCATTAATTTAGTTACATGTTCCATTTTCGGTTTTCAAAAAGTGTACCCCATATAGAAATCACAGACGTAATCCTACGTCAAAAACTCTAAGAAGTTCGCGGAGATTCGTAGAAGTTTACGAAACTTCTCAAGATTTGGTAAATTTTAGAAAACTTGTTAGAAAATAGAGGTTCAGGAAACTTTGGTTAAGAGCAATGGATTTTAAAAAGGTGCAGACAGCATCGTTTATGTTCATAGAACTAAGCTTAAGTTCCAAAAACTTTGTGCAAGTACAGGAACCCTCATAGAAGTTGAGGAAACTTCGTCTAATTTTCTGAACAAAAGATGTGACTTTTAATGCACAGTGTAAAATACAGGTAGTTTACAATCAACATCTACTGGATAACCAATTTCTGATATAAATCTATATGTGACTGTTATGCCTTTATGGGCAGTCCAGCTAATCGCAGATTTCAATTAAGTCTTGTGGATATGTTTTCAAGATGTTCATTTTTAAGGACATCAGGTTGATCAAGATTAAGATCTGAAGACTGTTTAAAAATTCAAAAGGCGTGTCTCAGATATTCTCCCGAAATGACACGTTGATTAGGAAGATTTCAGTTCCAGGCCAAATGGCCAAACAAATAATGTTTGACTCGACCTTCCCCGCTTTGCATAATTGATTGTTATGGATAATCCAAGGGGTTGGTCACTCCGCACAGTTTGCTAAAAACAGGACTCACCTGGTCACACTCATTGACACAGTTTGGCATCCATGGTATGAATCTTTCACGATCTTTAAAGTTACTGGCAACACTGAACTTTCAGGCAGCGCATGTGTCAAATCATTGTTGTTGAAATACATTTTTTAGCATTTTGAAACGCAACTTCTATACTGTCTTCGACAAAGTTGTTGTTCTGGGATAGACCAAGAAGCCTGTGTCATTGGATTCAGATTTAATTGAGAACGACGCCGCTAGAGGCGCTCCACTTGTATGTTACTTATGACGGGCGCTATAATGTATGGATCTTAGGTCCAACATATAATATTTCGTGATCCTGTCCATACAGAAAGTTGCTGTCTTTAGCAAAGTTGTTCAAGTGACCAAGTGCTTTCGGATGGTGGCCACATTAGTTCAGAACTCTTTCACTACGCAGCGCTAGTGTGCACATGAACTTCTTTAATATGTTATGTCTCGAAAGCTTGTCCATATAATATGTTGCTGTGCAATGTGAAACCAGGAACCGTACAAGGGATGACGTGTACAGAGGCTAGAAATCGATTTCGGATGCCATTTTTGAATCCA